TGTATTATTTTCGTGTCTCCCCCACTCGCCTATGAGCACCTCAGGGCAGGAGTGCTCACCTCCTTCGGTTCAGTCACAGTCCCTGGCGCCTGACATGTGGTGGCACAGTGAACTTGTGCAGAATTTTGTTGCCTTGATCTGATAGCGCACAATATGTATTCGTAAAGATTTTCACTGAATTTTTACTTCTAATCATAAAAATTTGACGGGGGTGGATATCCAGAATTAAGGGATTGTTTTAAAACGATAGTGCAGCCATTTAAATAACGTGGGAGAAGAATCTCAAATGCCAGGGAAAAACATTCCTAGTGTATTGAGTACAAAAACTTGTTTCCAAATAGTATGTCCCCATTTTACAAAATTTCTTAACATGATAGGTATAACTTTTGTAAACAGAAATCAAAGCAATAAATATTAATTTTTTATTTTGGTAAAATATACATAACAAAATTTACCATTTTAACCCTTTTTGAATGTACATCAGCAGCATTAAGTACATTCACATTGTTGTGCAACCATCACCACCATTTATCTCCGAAACTTTTCCATCATCCTAAACTGAAAGTGTGCCCATTAAACAGTAACTCCCCATTCCCCGTTCTCCCTAGGCCCTGTAACCTCTATTCTACTTTCTGTCTCTATGAATTTTATTCTAGGGACCTCATATAAGTGGAATCATAGAGTATTTGTCCTTTTCTGTCTGGCTTATTTCACTTAGCATGTTTTCAAGATTCATCCATGTTGGCATGTGTCAGAAATTCCTTCCTTTTTAAGGATGAATAATATTCCATTGTGTGTAATTAAATGTTATTTTAAAGAAGAGATTTACAATAACATCCAAAAGAATAAAATACCTAGGAATAAATTTAACCAAGGAGGTGAAAGACATGTACACTGGAAACTACAGAACATTCCTGAAAAAATCACAGACTTAATTCAATGGAAAGACACCCCGAGTTCATGGATGGGAAGACTTACTGTAGTTAAGATGGCAATACTCCCCCAAATACTCCCCCAAATGATCTACAGACTCAATGCCATCCCTATCAAAGCTCCACGGGCCTTTTTTTGCAGGAATGAAAAAGATGATCCTCAAATTCACATGGAACCACAGTGGGCCTTCAATAGCCAAAACAATATTGAAAAAGAAAAATAAGGTTGGAAGGCTCACACGTCCTGATTTCAAAACTTATTACAAAGCTACGGTAATCAAAAGTGTGGTACTGTCATAAGGAGACCAATGGAATAGAGTTGAGAGGCCAGAAATAGACCCAAACATCTATGGCTAGTTGATTTTCGACAAGGGCACCAAGCCCATTCAATGAGGAAAGAGCAGTCTTTTCAACAGCTGGTGCTGGGACAACTGGATATCCACTTGCAAAGGAACGAGGTTGGACCCTGGGGTGATTAATTTCATGTGTCGGCTTGCCTAGGCCACAGTACTCAGATATTTGGTCAAACACCAGTTTGGATGTTGCTGTAAAGTATTTTTAAGATGAGATTAACATTTAAATCGGTAGACTTTGAGTAAGGTATTGTACCCTCCATAAGGTGGTTGGGCATCATCCAATCAGTTGAAGGCCTTAAGAGAAAACAGACTGTGGTCCCCAAGTTAAGAGGGAATTCTACCTGCAGACTGTCTTTGGACTCAAGCTTTGGACTCAACCTCCACAATCATGGGAATCAATTCCTTAAAATAAATATATCTCTCTTCTCTCTCTCTCTCTCTCTATATATATATATATACACACACACATATGTATTATGTATATGTGTGTACACTCACACATCCTATTGGTTCTATTTCTCTGGAGAACTCTGATTAAGACAGGAGGTAAATCTTCATGTTCTCAAATTTGGCAATGAATTCTTAGATTTGACACCAAAAGCATGAGCAACAGGTGAAAAAATAGATAAGTTGGACTTTATCAAAATTAAAAACTTTTGTGCATCAAAGGACGTTATGAAGAAAGTGAAAAGATGACCTAAGGAATGGGAGTGGGGGGGCCTGGCTTTCTCCGCCATACTGGGCATGCTCCCACCTGCTCACCTGAGCTGGACCTGGGCCAGGCCCCTTGCTGTGTGCTCACTCTATGCCGAGGCTCCCCGAGGATCCAGCCACCTGCCTGCCAGACTCAGCTGTGAGGGCTGCCTGTTGGGGCTGCACTGAGGGGCTGTGTGGCAGCATGGTCACAGGCCTGTGTGGCCTCTGATGGCACGAAGCCTGGATCACCAGCCCTGTTGGGCTGCATGGGACCCAACTGCTCCCTTTGATGGCTTGTTCCAGGCCTCATTCCTCCCATCTCCCCCACCTCTCCACCCCTGCTGCATCAGCACCTGGGCCAGCGGGACACTGGACAGATGTTTGCTGAACTCCTACTGGGATATGAAAGCCTGCCTCACCCTTGTCGTCAGGGACGCCTGGTCATGGGGACTTGGCTGTCCCACTGGCCTTCTCTCTGCCCTGTCCTTAGTGGTCAGCGGCACTTCCCAGAGCTGCTGGGCAGGAGCGCTTGGCTGGAGTAGAGCACGTGGTGCCCTGAATGCCCCAGCAGCAGGGAGCACCGCGCTGGATGCCTGGACAAAGCCAAGGGGATGTCCTCAGGTCCCCCACCTCCCGCAAGAGGGGTTGGGCACGGCGGCCTTGGAGGTCTATGCACGGAGCCCTCCTAATGAATGGATTTTTTTCTGAGGCTCCAGACCAGCCATGACCAACCCTGGGCACCGCTCACAGCTCCGTGGAGGTGAGCAGGAGGGCCCCTTCTCCAGGCACCATCGCTGCTTTCTGAAAGACGAGATGACAGGGAGCTGGGGCAGGGATTCACCAAACCCACCCCTTTCCTGCCCATTTTCACTCTGCCTTTGTGCTGAGACCACTGGATTTACCCACGAGGTTAAGACTCTGTCTTGGGAAATTGTCCCCCGAACACTGTTAATTTAATCAGCACCATCAGCTCGTGTAAGATCCATAAAACAGACTGGGAGGAACAGAAGCCTGGCTGGCTGTCCTCTGCCCTTCTCCCTGCCCTTCTCTCAGGACACAGCCCCTCATCACAGCCCCAACCTTTCTGCTTCCTAGGCTGAACTGGCCACTCCACAGGGCCTGGCAGCCACGGGTCACAGCCTGTTGTGCCCCAGGAGACAGCACAGCCCGTTTTTCCTGTGACTTTTGAATCCTGAAACCCAGCCTTTTTTTTCTTTTTAATTTTTTTTTTTTTTTGTGAGGAAGATCAGCCCTGAGCTAACATCCAATGCCAATCCTCCTCTTTTTGCTGAGGAAGATTGGCCCTGGGATAACATCTGCCAATCCTCCTCTTTTTTTTTTTTTGCTGAGGAAGACGGGCCCTGGGCTAACATCCGTGCCCATCTTCCTCTACTTTATATGGGACGCCGCCACAGCATGGCTTGAGGAGTGGTGTGTTGGTGAGCGCTGGGATCTGAACCTGTGAACCCTGGGCTGCTGAAGCAGAGCGTACGCACTTAACCACTGCACCACTGGGTCGGCCCTCTGAAACCCAGCCTTTTTAAGGCAAAAACAGTGCCTTCATTCAATTTTGTGTATCAGTTTTTCTCACTGAACTGGATGAGTCCCTGAACTCTTGGGGACTCTGTGTTGGACGGTGATGACTAGACCCCAATGCCGGTGATGAGATCCCGCTCATTTGCAGAGAGATACATGCAGATGTTTCTCGGTTTATGCAAACAAGCCGTGAGGCTGTCACCTGTGCTCTGATGAGGCATCAAGGGGACAGGTCCGGTATTCTCTGGTGGATGTTCCCTCGGCACCTGCAACGTCCAAGGCTTGAGCTGTCTGGTCCCGGGAGACCCGGGAGGAGGCACCCAGAGAAGGGTCCTCCAGGGATGGGGCTACTCTCAGAGAAACAGGCCGGACATGAATGATGGTGACGCTTGGAGCTGGGCAGGGCTGTGCACAGTGCGTGGCGAGATCGCCACGGGGATGAATGTGGTGCTGCCTGCAGAATTGGGGGCCTCCTGGAGGTGGCCTCTGAGCAGCATCAGATGGAGCGTGGAGCCCCAGTCCGGGAGAGGGTGTGCCTCTCAAGGCACAGGGACACCCTGGAGAGAGAGTCAGCCCTGCCTGGGGGCGACAGGAGGCTGCCTCCCGTCTAAAGGGTGACAGAGCTTGGGCCAGACCTCTGGGAGGGAAAGGTGGGTGTGGGGGCAGCCTGAGCAAAGGCAGGGTGGGCCACGAAGCACGCAGCTCGTTGTGGGGCCTCATGGGGTTTGGGAGTGAGCGGGCAGGGAGGGGCTGCAAGTGGATTGTCACAGCCTGGTGTGGGCCGAGAGCCAGGAGGGGCTGTGGTCAGTGGGAGTTAAAAAGACTCAGGGCAGCACCTGGACTTCAGGGGTAGGGACTGGGGAGTGAGGTCCGAGTTCTGGGTGGCCCGTGAGGCTGGGAGGACAGCCTGAGAGCACCTTTGTGAGGAGTCTCGCCTGTCTGTGCAGTGTCCCTGAGATGCGCGTCCCTGACCCGCTGGCACCCCACAGGGCCTGGCCTGGAGGCTCAGGGGTGCGCAGGCTTTGGTCCAGGGCCAGTGATGGGCAGAGGCTGCCCTCTGTCCCTGTGTAGGACCTCGGTTCTCACTGCTTTTGGAGTAGATGGTCTCAGGTCTAATTCTCACAAACCTCTACATTTGTGTTAAATTTAAACACAAATCCAGTTTTTCCATTTTCAAGAGGGTAGATTTTAGTAAAAAATCTTGACGCTGATTTATCTGATCACAGCAGTGATGTGTGCAGGTATATTTTTATAATTATTTTATGATCGCTTGAATGAACCTAAGCTAATCAACTTCAAAAGATGATAATGTCTGGGTAATAATTTTCATTGCTATTTTCTAAACTTGAAGATTTGGTCACAGGAGCCGAAGCACGTGCTGGTGCTGAGCGTGATGTGGTTGCGCGTGTGGGTGTGGTCTGGGCTCGCCCAGGCGGCTGCAGGGGCTGATGCCATGCTGGCTTTTGTGTCTTGAATGCAGTGGTCTCGTGGTCTACGCGGATGGACCCCTGAACTTGGACCGCAAGGCGGAAGACATGTCTGAGCTGTTCCGGCCTTTCCACACGTTGCTGCGGAAAATAAGGTGAGGGGGAGCTGAGGGAGGATAGGGGAGGAGTGGGAGGAGTGGGAGGAGGGGGTGCCCAGGGCTGCATTTGCCCCTGAGCCCTCCTTTCTATGCAGATGGGCGGGGCTGTTACTTGTCCTCTTCTGCTCCAGTCAGTGGGTCGACCTTGGTCTTTTGTGTTTAGTTATTGGTTGATAATGTTTGGAGCCCCCTTTTGGAACCCCACGCCCTTCTCTCCCCACGGAACCAAGTTCTTTGTTGTTGGCCAGTGTCATTAAGACCTTCGGTGTAAAGGTTCTGTGATAAGACAGCAGCCACCCTGGCTGAGGGCCCTGTGCTGGGCCCTCTTTATGTGTCTCACAGAAACTTCTCTGTGGCCCCCCGAGACAGACAGGGCCGATTTTACAGGAGAGGCTATGAAACCGGGGTGACAGGTGCACCGAGGACCACACAGTTTGTGCGGGGAGGGCCAGCCCCCTGGGCCAGCACATCCTCTCCTCGTGGGCTGGGGCTGGGGCCCAGGCTGGGACTGGTGCTTGCTCACGTGTACCTTAACCTCCCCAGGGGCTTTTACTAGTTCTTTATTCGTTCTTTGACTAGTTTAGGGGGCAAAGCGTCCAGTTATCTTGAGCGCCAGCGCCCCCCAGCTGCACCCTGGCAGTCCCTGGGCAGCTGGCCCAGGTGACATCAGCATCCTCGGACCCATCTGTGCTGTCCTGTGGCTTGGTGGCAGCTCGTATGGGAGACCATGCTCTGCCCTGAGGGTTTCCCCTTGGCCTTCAGCAACAGATCTTCCAGCCAGCACCCCCATCTTGAGTCTTCCCCCAAATGCTCACTTTAAACCGATGTGGAGCTCTCACTATGGTGGGGTGATAGCGCCAGCTGTGGCTTCCTGAAGGGACAGAGCAGCGGGAGGCTGTGGCTGCATGTCCTCTGAGCGCCTCCGTGGCCCTGTGACCTTGGATGCCGAGGTCTTTCCTACCACGGCTCCCAGTCTCCGGAAGCCCCCTTCCCTGGCTGTTGAGCTGATTACCCTGTGGACTCTTGCAATGTCCTTCCTGGGTCTCATGGGACTTCCCAGTGCAGGGCAGCCACAGGCACAGACAGCCCAGGGCCAGGTTTCCTTCGCTGGTGCTGGTCCCTTCAGGGAGCCCGGGGAGTACGCTGCCTTTTGCCCCATGAGGAGCCAAAGGTGCTGTGAATCCAGACAGGGAAGAGTGACCCAGCAGGGAGAGTCAGTGGGCTTGAGGTGAGCCACAGCCTGGGGCCCTGTGATGGGTTGCTCGGTCCAGACTATGGTTCATCAGATAGAGGGCTCCTAGCTGCTTCCCTGGTACCTGGTCCCAGCTGTGAGCATCTGAGCAGGATGTGATCCTGGACCCAGAGGCTGTGGCCCCTGTTCTCCTGGGCATCCAACTGAGAGAGGAGACGATAAATGAGGAGAGATGATGGACGATGCTGAGACCAGGAAGGGAAGCACAGGGTTCGGAGCAGACTGAGGGGTCCTGTGGGTTGGGAAGTGGGAGAGGAAGTGTGCTGGGTGCTGGAGACATGGGCAAGGAAACAGTCCAGACCGTAAGAGACACGTGCAACATACTCAGAAGTCTAACAACGTACATAATTGGAATCAGAAGGAAGGAAAAGAGAAAATGGGTAGAAGCACTATTCAAAGAAATAATGGCCATGAATTTTCCAAAACTGAAGAAAAATCTCTGTCCCTAGATTCAGGAGGCTCAAGAAAACTACGAGCAAGATGAACACAAAACATACCTACGTATATCATAGTAGAATTGTCAAAACAAAGAAAAAATCTTAAATGCATCTGGGGAAAAAGGACATGTTACTTTGAAAAGAACGTAAGATTGACAGCTGTCTTCTCAAAAACAATGGGAGCGAAAGGCAATGAAGTGATATATATTTAAATTGCTGAGAGAAAATAGCTGCCAATCAGAATTTTATAACCAGCAACAATATCCTTCAAAAAATGAAGGTGAAATAATGAATTATTCAGAAGCACAAAGCTGAAGAAATTTGTCAGCAGCAGCCTGCACATAAAGAAAAACTAATTGGATTTCTTCAGGCAAAGGAAAAATTCTTATATGGAAATATGGAAGTGCCAGGAGAGCCTGAAGAGCCTGATGTGGACTAAGATAAAGGAACACGGACTGCACAAAACAATAATTATACTGTCTTGTGGAGTTCAAATTATACATAGCATAGTTCAATATTTGAAAATAAAATCATTGTTCTGCCATATTAATTTTTAAAAGAGGAAGAAAAACAAGTCATTTTGAAAGTTACAGAAAAAGGATTTGAAAATTCAACACCTATTTTATGATAAAAACATTTCTTAGCAAATTAGAAATAGAAGGGAATTTCCTTAATGTGCTAAAAGATACATATATATACACACATACACTCACATACACATATGTGCACACATATGAAGTTGGACCCTTACCTAACATCGTATATAAAAATTAACTCAGAATGGATCAAGGACCTAAATGTAAGACCTAAAACAATAAAACTCTTAGGAAAAAAACACAGGACAAAAGCTTCATGACATTGCATTTGGCAATGATTTCTTGGATGTGACACCAAAGGCACAGGCAACAAAAGAAAAAATAGGCAAATTGGACTGTGAAAATTTCAAACTTTTGTGCATTAAAAGATGCTATCACCACAGTAAAAAGGCAACCCACAGGATAGGAGAAAATATTTGCATATCATATGTCTGATAAGGGATTAATATCTAGAACATATAGAGCACTCCTAAAACTCAACAGCAACAAAACCAACAACGCGATTCAAATGGGCAAAGGACTTGAATAGACATTTCTCCAGAGAAGATATATGAATGGCCAACGAGCACGTGAAAGATGCTCAGCATCATTAGTCATTAGGGAAATGCACATCAAAACTACAATGAGATGCCACCTCACACTCATGAGGATGGCTATTCTCAAAAAAACAGAAAACAAGCGTTGGTGAGGATGTGGAGAAATTGGAACCCTTGTGCACTGTTGGTGGGAATGTAAAATGATAGACCTGCTATGGAAAACAGTATGGAGGTTCCTCAAAAAATTAAAAATAGAATTACCACATGAATTACCACATGAATTACCACAGCAATTCCACTTCTGGGTGTATACCCAAAAGAATTGAAAGTAGGTTCTTGAAGAGATATTGGTACACCCATGTTCAAAGCAGCATTGTTCACAATAGTTAAAATGTGGAAGTAACCCAAATGTCCATTGACCTGATGAATGGATAAGCAAAATGTGGTCCATCCATACAATGGAATATTATTCAGCCTTAAAAATGATGGAAGTTCTGCAATATACTACAACATGGATGAACCTTAAGGAGATTATGCTAAGTGAAATGAGCTACTCACAAAAGACAAATATTGTATGATATGAATACTTACATGAGGTCCCTAGAGTAGTCAAATCCATAGAGACAGAAAGTAGAATGGTGGATGCCAGGGGTTGGGGGGAGGGGAAAGGGGAGTTATTGTTTAATGGGGACAGAGTTTCAGTTTTATAAGATGAAGAATTATGGGGATGGGTGGTGGTGATGGTTGCATAACAATGTGAATATTTAATACCACTAAACTGTCACTTAAAAATGGTTAAGGGCCGGCCCTGTGGCTTGGTGGTTAAGTGCGCGCGCTGCGATGCTGGTGGCCCGGGTTCGGATCCCGGGTGCGCATCGAGGCACTGCTTCTCTGTTCATCCT